AAGAGGAGGAAGAGGAAGAGGAAGAGGAGGAGGAGGAGGAGGAGGAGGAGGAGGAGGAGGAGGAGGAGAAGGAGAGAAAGGAATGGGGGGCTGTGCGGGAAGGTGGGTGGGGAGGAGGAGGAGGAGAAGGAGAGGAGGAGAGGAGGAGGGGAGAGGAGGAGGGGAGGAGGGGAGGAGGAGGAGGAGGAGGAGAGGGAGAGGAGGAGGAGGAGGAGGAGGGGGGGAGGAGAGGGAGGAGGAACAGGAGGAGGAGGAGGACGAGGACGAGGACGGGGCGGAGGAGGGCGGAGGAGCAGGAGGAGGAGAGGGAGGAAGAGGAGGAGGAGGCGGAGGAGGACGAGGAGGAGGAGGAGGGGGGGCGGAGAGGAGAAGGAGAAGGACGAGGAGGAGGCGGAGGAGGTGGACGACGACGAGGAGGGAGAAAAAGGGGATGAGGAGGAGAGGTGGAGGAGGAGGAGGAGGAGGAGTCGGAGGAGGAGAGAGGAGGAGGAGGAGGAGGAGGAGGAGGAGGAGGAGGAGGAGGAGGAGAGGGGGAGGAGGAGGAGGAGGAGGAGGAGGAGGAGGAGGAGGAGGAGGAGGAGGAGGACGAGAAGGAGAGGGGGAGACGTAGGAGGTGCAGGAGGAGGAGGAGGAGTGGGAGGAGGAGGAGGACCAGTGTAAACCCAAGAGACACCAACGATGTTGAAATCAACTCTCTCTTCAAGCTCCCTCTTCATAGGCCCCTGCAACGGTTCATTTCCACTGAGGGAATAGTCTCGTCGGAAGACATTCGTTTGAAGACCCTGGAGCATGCCAAAACATTATTATCGGGATTCCATCGCCACGGATTTACCTGACTGTCGCGTCTTGCCGATCCTGAATTGGGCCAGAACGCCATTCCTGGGACTTCAAACACCGCGAATCTGAGTTACTGTTGCACCCTCATAGTCCTGAATCGTTCCAGAACGCAATCTCTGGTACGCTGATCATGGAAAACCGCCAAATTCTTGCAACTTGTAGCGAATGTGCACGGCGCTGAGGCGAGAGCCACTTTTTGAACCTGAACCGCCCTCCATCCGTGAACCTCTTAGCAAATTTGTAAAACGAATGCACGCTGCGCTAAGGCGATATCCACATTAAAAAACGACCCGCCCTCGATCCGTGAAGCTCTTGCATGCTCAACGACTGTGCGCAGCGCTACGGCGAGAGCCACATTTTCAAAAAGGAAACGGCCTCAACCCGTGAGCCTCTTGCAAAGTTTCAAATCGAATGTGCGCGGCGCTAGGGCGAGAGTCACAGGTTGAAAACTACCCGCCCTCAGTTCGTGAAACCGTTGCACACGTTTCAAACGAATGTGCGCGCGCGCTAAGGCGAGAGCCACATTTTGAAAACCACCCGCCCTCCATCCGTGAAGCTGTTGCCAATGTTAAACGTCAGCGTCCTAATTGGTGAGGGATTCTCAGGCGAGGCGCCCGGCCCGCCCTAAAAAGTGGCCTCGGGGTGCGACAGGGAGAAGTTATGCAGAAGGAAAAGGAATGGAGGAGGAGGTGGTGGAGGAGGAGGAGCAGGAGGTGCAGGAGGAGGAGGAGCAGGAGGAGGAGGAGGAGGGGAGGAGGAGGTGCGCACAGCCTGGCGCGACGGGTGGTGACCGAAGCGCGGGACTCTAGCTGGATATGGAGGGCCTTCCACAATCGCGGAAGGGAAGCCAGACTGCATGGCAAGGGATTCGTGCAGCTGGCACAGTGACCACAGCAAGAGAGCTGGATCAATTAAGCTGTCGATGGAAACATACGCCACGGCAGCCCAAGGCGACGAGGGGCCAGGAACCCAGAAGACCAGAGCGCCCAGACAGGCATTCCCGCCGCCTAGGCCCTCCGAAGACGGCCAGTGCAGCAGGAACGCCACCCCCGCGGGGACGGACGGGCGACCACCCAGCGGCCCCCCGAGGCCGCCCCAACCCAGAAGGGGCTAGCCATCGCCCCACGGGCGAAAACCAACCCCAGAGACCCCCCCCCAAAGCACAGCCAGAACGACGAGGCGAATCCAGCAGGGCGGAGCGGGGGCCGCACCGAGGCAGAGCGGAGCACACATGTCAACTAGATATGCTCTGTTTGCTCACAACCTTCAGCATTCTCCACTGCGCACGCGGCATCGGCGAAGCGCCGACTCCCCGCAGGCGCATCGGCTCGTCCCACTGGATGATGACATTGTCAGCGGGACTAGCGACGTGCACCACGGCCCCGACGAGCCCGACAGGGACACGGACCCGTCTGCCCGCATCCGTGTTGAAGGCCTCGATGACCGCGACCCGCATGCCCTCCGCCAGCTCTCCTCCGTCGGCATGCTGTGCACGCTGTGGCACTCCCCGTCGTTCGCGGCGTCGCGGAGCTTGTCTCCAGGGCCGAACTCGGCATCCGCCCACGACGTTCGTAGACCACCTTCAGCTCGAACTGCTGCACCATGAACTGGCCCAGGTAGCTTGCCACCGCCAAGTACCGCAGCGCCGTCATCAGCAGGAAGCCCGTCACGACCATCATGGAGCTCGTCGCGACCATCACGAAGCTCGTCACGACCATCACGAAGCCCGTCGCGACCATCACGACGCGCGTCACGAAGCTCGTCGCGACCATCACGAAGCCCGTCAGGAAGCGCGTCGCGACCATCACGAAGCGCGTCGGGAAGCTCATTGCGACCATCACGAAGCTCGTCAGGAAGCTCGTCGCGACCATCACGACCGTCGTGAGGCTCGTCGCGAACATCACGAAGCTCGTCGCGACCATCATGAAGCTCGTCGCGACCATCACGACCATCACGAAGCACGTCACGACCATCATGAAGCTCGTCGCGACCATCACGAAGCCCGTCAGGAAGCACGTCACGAAACCCGTCAGGAAGCTCGTCGCGACCATCACGAAGCTCGTCGCGACCATCACGAAGCTCGTCGCGACCATCACGACCATCACGAAGCAGGTCACGACCATCACGAAGCTCGTCACGACCATCACGAAGCTCACCTTCTGCACGAACGGCTTCGCCAGCGCTCGACGAGTCAGCCTCCACCAGCGGCGCCAAATCCACGAGCTTGTCCGTGGGTCCGCCCATGGACGTGGACTGGTCCTCCGCCTCGGAGTGCGACTCCACCCAGCCGCGCGCAGCGGCCAACGCTTCAGCCCCTGCACCAGGATGACGGAGCATGGAGGCTGCCGCGTCCACCGCGCGCCAGGCCCTCTCCAAGCGGGGCGGCGGGCGCCGGCCTTCGCCACGGCACCGGGCCAGGCCGGCGGCCAGCGTGGCCCCGCCCATCACCGCGACGAGTTCCGCAGCCACGCCAAGCAGCCGCTGCGCCTCTCCCCCTAGGGCCGTCAGCGCCTCGGCCCCTGGCGCCGCCTCCGTAGCCGCTGCGGCAGGCGCTGGCGAGGAACCGCCTTGCGCCGCCCCAGCTTGCAGCAGCAAGATGAGTGCTGCTGCGGCTCCTACCGTCGGGACCGTAGCCGTCGACACGCCATGTCTGACGGTGAAGCCACATTTCGCCCCACGCGGCATCGCAGCGGCGGGGAGAACAGCAACGCGCGTCAAGGGCCGCGCGCCGCGCCGTGGAGGAGCTCAGAGCAAGCAGCACAGAGCAGGATCTCCTTGAGCCACAATGGCTACGGACGGAGGGGCGGAGGAGGAGGAGGAGGAGGAGGAGGAGGAGGAGGAGGAGGAGGAGGAGGAGGAAAAGGAGGAGGAGGAGGAGGAGGAGGAGAGGAGGAGGAGGAGGAGGAGGAGGAGGAGGAGGAAGGAGGAGGAGGAGGAGGAGGAGGACGAGGAGGGGGGGGGGGGGGAGGAAGAGGAGGATGCCGAGGAGGAGGAGGAGGAGGAGGAGGAGGAGGACGAGGTGGGGGCAGAGGAGAAATGAGGAGAAGGAGCAGGGGGAGGAGAGATAGAACGAGGAGGAGGAAAACAGAGGGAGAGAGGGAACACGAGAGAGAGAGAGAGAGGGAGCGAGATAGCGAGAGAAAGAGAGAGAGAGAGAGAGACAGATAACGAGAACGAGAACGAGAACGAGACATATAACGAAACACCTAATATGCACATCTCTATAATGATACAGCGAGAGAGATACGGTGTGGGTAGAAAGATCTATATATGTATATATAACGATCTACATTTAGAAAACGAGAGAATGGGAGAGGGAGATAACGAGAGAAATAGAGAGAGACACACACACACAGACACACAAGCAATACAGGGATCTGTACATATACACATACATACATACATACATACATATGTACACAGGTGCATCCATTTGCCTACGTATATACACATATACATGTATGTGTAGAGAGTGGGGGATAATGAGAGAGAGAGAGAGAGAGATAGACCGATATATATATATATATATACACATAAAGAGAGGAGAGAGAGAGAGAGAGAGAGAGAGAGAGAGACAGAGAGAGAGAGAGAGAGACACACACAAACATAACAAACAAACAATCGTAAGAACGGAACGCGGGCACTGGTCTTGTTAGGCTACTCCAAGGGTCCTGCTGCTGTCTTGTTCGGGTGCTGCCGGGCCCCGCCAATTTTCCCTGCCGGATGCGGTCCTGGCGAGGCCTGCCTGGTGCCCTCGCAGGGTCCTGCCAGGGTCCCGGTGGCGGTCCTGCCAGGGACCTGGCAGGGCCCTGCAGGATTTTTGTGCCAGGGCCCTGCTGGCGTCCTGCGGGGAGCCTCCTCGGGCCGCGGTCCTGCCTAGGGTCCTGCCGGGGTCGCGCCAGGGTTCCACATGAGGGTCTCGCGTGGCGCGGGACGGGGGAGGAGGAGGAGAAGGAGGAGGAGGAGGAGGAGGAGGAGGAGGAGGAGGAAGGACGGAGAGGAGGAGCAGGAGGAGGAGGAGGAGGAGGAGGAGGAGGAGGAGGAGGAGGAGGAGGAGGAGGAGGAGGAGGAGGAGGAGGGGTCGCGCCAGGGTTCCACAGGAGGGCCTCGCGACGGCCCCGCCAGGGCTTTGCTCTCGGCCTGGCCCCCCTTTGAAGCTGGAAGCATCGTCGCCCTCGGAGCGTCCTGCCGGTGTCCTGCAAGGGGTCTTGCCGGACAGGGTCTTTGCCGTGGGCCTGCCAGGATCCTGCTGAGGAGGAGGAGGGGGAGGAGGAGGAGGGGGAGGAGGAGGAGGAGGAGGAGGAGGAGGAGGGGGAGGAGGAGGAGGAGGAGGAGGAGGAGGAGGAGGAGGAGGAGGCGGTCCTGGTATGATCTGGCTGGGGTCCTGCCAGGGTCCTGCCGGGGTCCTGCGGTCGTGCCGGGTGGCTGCCAGAGTCGTGCCAGTGTATTACCAGGGCTCTGCCAGGGTCTCGTTGGGGTGCCATGGCCAGGTCATGCCAAGGTCCTTTTATGAGATTCGTGCCAGGGTCTTGCGGGGACTTTGCTGGTGTCATGCGAAGGTCCTGATGGGATCCTGCTGAGTCTTGCCAGGGCCACGCTAGCTTCCGCACGGAGCGCACTGCCGAGTAGAACAGTTGTCGAGTGGTCGCGCAGTCACTACAATGACTGCTGGCAAAATGCTTGCGTTCCTTTTCTCAGTCGGATGCCCCCACTCGGGACAGAATACGATTCAAATCGCCCAGGTGGGCCCGCTGAAGCAGATCAGCTCGATGATCAAGCGCATCGACCCCGACGCGTACAGACGGACCGTGAACGTCAGCGTCTGAGCGGCGGCTGGATTTCGTAGCGATGCTAGGCGGTTCGCAGGTGCGTCGGCCCCAGGGGTAGAGCCCTCTTCCTTCTGCCTCTCCTCCCGTGCGATCGGTCCTTCCTTCCTCCTCCTGCTTCTCCTCCTGCTTTTCCTTCCTTCTGCTTCCCTCCTGCTTTTCCTTCCTTCTGCTTCTCCTCCTGCTTCTCCTTCCTTCTGCTTCCCTCCTGCCTCCCGTGCTGCGAAGCGTCGGAGGCGGAGGTCGGCCGTGCCTGGAACGGACGGGGCGCAGCGTTCCGGCTCCCCGGAGGAAGGGGCGGCAGAGAGGGGGGTGATGACTAGAGGGGGGGGGGATATCATGGCGGGGGCCATGATTGTTCCCTAGATTTCATGGCGCCTCTTCTTATTTCATTACGTCCCCGGTCCCCCCGCTGGGCCGCGCACATGCCGCCGGCCATGATTTGCACCCCCCCCTCTTGGACACCCCCTCTTGGCCGCTCCCGATGGAGGAAGGGGCGAGGGCCTGGGGATAGCAGCGGGAGGGAGGGATGGAGGGGGAGGAGGGTGGGGGAACAGGAGGAGGAAGAAAGAGGGTGGTGAAGCCGATCCTCGGAGAGCGACCCGAGTCCCGACCCCGAGTCCCCACTGCAGGCAGTGGCAAAGCGTCCCAGCTCTCCTACAGGCCCGACAAAGAATTTCTCTGAACCTTTTGTGGTCTGTACGAAATGTGTTTAGAATCTTCTGACTGAGATTGCCTTTCTTGAACACATCGGGCTCATTTTCTAAGCACATTGTCATTGCAGGCCTGGGCCGGCGCCGCTATCCGGAGGAATTGTCGGAATTTTTGGAATTTCTGGGATTCCAGGAATTGTCCGGATTTTTCCAAATTGTTGGAATCTCTTTCTGACGATGTCAAGTATCCAGAAATGAAGACCTACCAGAAGTTTAAGAACTATCAAACAAAAAAACGAAATTCCAGCAACGCCAGAAGTGCTAGAAAGTCCAGAAGTTTCCGAAAATCCAGACATTTCAGAAGTTCCAGAAAGTTTAGACATTCTAGACATTCCACAAATTTCGGTGATTCCAGAACCCCCAGAATTCCAACAGTTCCAGAAATTCTAGATCTCCCAAGATTATTAAATTCCTTCGTATTCCACAGAGCTCCAGAAGTTCCACAAGTTCCAGAAATTCCAGATATACCCGACATTCCAGGAATTCCGAACATTCCAGACATAACTATTGCGCTCTGACAATCGTAGTCCTTCCATGGAAACATCTAGCACATTGGCCATGTGACTATGTGCGTGGCGCGGCGCCTAGGCGAGAGCCACCTTTTGGAAAGGTGCCGCCCTCAATCCGCGAAGCTCCAGTTTGCAAGGCATGTGTACGCGGCGCTGAGGCGAGAGCCACATGTTGAAAACCACCTGCCCTCACTCCGTGAACCTCTTGCTAAGAATGAATGCGCGCGGCGCTAAATCGAGAACCACATTCTGAAAAGGAGCCGCCCTCAATCCGTGAACCTCTTGCACATATTTGAAAATAATGTACGCGGTGCTGAGGCGAGAGCCACACTTTGAAAACGACCCGCCTTCAACCCGTGAGCCTGTTGGAAGTTTCTACAACGAATGTGCGCGGCCCTAAGGGCGAAAGCTATTTCTGAAAATTACCCGCCCTCCACGTGTGAAACTGTTGTCATGCGTAAGCTTCAGGGTCATGCATTGTGAGGAACTGGTGGCGAAATGCCCAGCCCGCACTGTCGACCGGTCTCGGGTTGCGACAGGGAGGAGTTACTTAAAGGAAATGAATGGAAGAGGAGGAGGAGGAGGTGGTGGTGCAGGAGGAGGAGGAGGCTTCCGTTGGCCCAAGTAGAGATCAAGGCGCTCAGCATCTGTGTGCTCGATCTTCGGCCGCTATTTAACCTCGAAGGAGGAGGCTCGTGAGGTGGACAGAGCCCGCTTGGGCAAAGCACCCCGGAGGAGGAAGTGGTTGCCTCTTCACTTCGCGGTATCACCTCGCCGGCACGGGTTGTTCGGAGTGCACTTGCCTGATCGCTGGTGCTGGATCCCCCCTGGCCTGCGCCCGCGTGCTTCCGGCGTCCGGGCCGGAAGTGCGCCTGGGGAAGCCACAAGGTAGACCGACCACCGCTACTCCCCGGGCCTCTCCCAGGGTGCGTTCTGTCCAGGACTTGGAGGCGAATCCAGCGGTGGCGGCGAGTGCCTCCCAGGAAGCCCCAGAAGGGGAACTCGAGGGAGAAGTAGCGGTATGGATACCTTTGCCTCCTCTGAGCGTCGGCCCTTTCCTCCCTTCCCCACCGTTCCCCACCCCTGTCCCTTCCCTCCCCGTCCGTGCCCCTCTTCCCTCTTCTGCCCTCCTCTCTCGCGTGCTCTCTCGTTCTCTCACTTTCGCGCGCTCCATCGCTCTTCACATGTCGGGCGATGTCTGTGACACGCTCTCCCTCCTGTCCCCTCTTCTCCCCTCCCTCTCCCCCCTCCCTTGTGCCCCACCCGCTCTCTCCCCCTTCCACATGAGCTCTCTGATGGGCATTCGGACAGAACGGGGGCGGAGGAAGAGGAGGAGGAGTAGGAGGAGGAGGAGGAGGACAAGGAGGAGGACGAGAAGGCGGAGGAGGAGGAGGAGGAGGAGGAGGAGGAGGAGGAGGAGGCGGAGGAGGTGGAGGAGAAGGAGCGGGGAGGGACAATGAGGAGAAACGAGAGGAGGATAGGAGGAGGGGGAGGAACGAGCGAGAAGAGAGGAGCGTGGAGCGTGGAGCGTGGCTTGGGGAGAAGATCAGTGGCGCGGCCAAGGGGTGGAATGCAAGCGCATCGGGCTAACAAACAAGAGTGGTGGACATGTGGGCGGTCATGCGGCGCACCCACGCGCGCGGGAGGGATAATGAGGACCAGAGAAGGAAAAAGTACCGATACCGCTACCCTTCCCCGTCACCACGGCGGGAATTCCCTCGAGTACCTCCTCCTCCTCTTCCTCCTCTTCCTCCTCCTCCTCCTTCCCGCCCCTGTCCTCCTCCTCCTCCTCCTCCTTCCCTTCTTCCCTCCTCCTCCAGCTAGCGTGCCAGGCCTAAGGCTTGTTGGTCAGCTGGCGGGAAGAGCCAACATTTCTCAGGGTGTCGGAGTCCCAACCCCGAGGGACGCGGCAGGCGACCCCGCGAGGGATGGCGGCGCAGCGCAGGTGAGCACCCGTGCCGCGATGTTGTTCGGCGAGTTCAGCGTGATCCACAACATGCTTGGGATAACGGTGCGAAGACATCAGCAGATAACTAAATGACTGCTTATTAGACTTACAAGCGCAAAGCGACGAGCAGCTTGGGAGCATCCCGCAGTTATACAACAACTACCGAACCACTAGGCCATTCATTGGAGAAGAAGCTGCTGGGTAAATAACAGTTTCGGGATCAGCTTTCTCATTTCTTATCATTTACCGGGGACGTGTTAAAACCAGGTACACATCCACCACTGGGACTACGAGGGCGCGCAGCTGCTCTTCGTTTGAAGTTATACCAGATGGACAGACTTCTAGTGGGCACATAATACGCACCAGTGGGCACTAGCAGCAATGACGAGCTGGCGAAGCGAATTTCTTCTTGGGCGGAGCACCTCTGTGACACACACGGAAGGATTACAATGATTAGTTGGTGTGCAGACTGCAATTCAGAGCTTGGCCTGGCTAAAGGCCCGATGGGAGCTATGGAGTTTACACGTGGCAGTGCAGCGGGAGGTTGCGACCCGAAGATCGAGAACAGCAGCGGCAAAGAGATACGACGGACCTGTCAGGGTACGCATTTGAGAATGCAAACAACGTTCGCCCCAGAGTTCGGATGCATTTTCTTTGGCGGGAAATGACACACCAGACTTGACCATATTAGTTATTCCAGATGGGGCAGCGGCATCAATAATGGATTTCCGAACTCTGCCCATCGCGGGACGGACGCTACAACCAGTTCGGCACCGTGAGCAGCGAGAGCACATACCTGTAGCTCTGGTGAGACAATGCAACGCAGATCTACGTGAGCAGCACTGGCCTGTGCGAGTTGGCAGATACGCATTGCTAACATGTTTACGCGCAGAAGAGTTGTGCGAAAAGGGTTGTTTCAAAGGTCGAGGAGCAGCGCGCGCATATTGCGGACGAGCGCTGGCAACAGGCAAAGGGCAGACGCACGCCTGATGACATGTGGGGCCTCTTGAGAAACACAGCGACGAAGGCAATGGGGGAGATTTCCCCGCGGGGAGCCAGAGTTGCGCCAGACTGGCTGGAAGCTGCTACTTGAAATCGAATGCAGTTGTTGGGCCGACGACGAGGGCCCATGCAGGCGATGGGCCACGGCAGCGATGAAGAATCCGA